TCAAGTCAATTCCAAGTCATAGCAACCCTGGACAGGGTAGAACTGCCCCTGTGGGTTTCTGAGACTGTAACTATAAGAGTAGACAGCCTCATCTTTCTCCTGCAGATCGGCTGGTGGGTTTGAACTACTGGCTTTGCAGTTAGCAGCTCAGTACGTAGTCCACTATGCCACCAGGGCTCGTCATAGAAGGATATAAAGTGACATGAACTTACAAACGTGGTAAATTACCAACAGATATTTTTTTAACCCTCCCTGCCCCGAATTTCAACAGGTAATCGGTAGTTTTACAACAAGAGTCATCGGACACTATGTCTTTCACACTGTCTTCAAAAGCCACGTGTAATTTCCACTGACCCAGTGCTGAGTCAGTCCCACTCATCAGCCCCCTGAAAGACAGGACAGAATGGTCCCATAGGGCCCCGAGCCTTCGGTCTTACGGAGCAGCCTGCCACCTCTCTCTCCCCCAAGCAGCTGATGGGTTTGAACCACCATCCTTCTGGCTAACAGCCCAGTGCTCAACCAGTGCCCTCCCCGGGCTCCTTGTTCACGCTTACAGCATACCTGTGCTCGGACAAGCCACATGTTAAGCACTTGGAGGTCACGTGTGGCTTACGGCTGCCACACGGAACAGTATAGGTCTAGCTAGAGCTTAGGTACTATATCTAATAGAGATAGCAGATGACAGTTTCTTCCTTGGGCTAGCTAGATTCGGCGAACTTTTAAAGCTCAGCCCCTGGTCCCCACACACCTCAAGCCGCCTCCTCCCACTAGAGGGCTCTGCCCAAGAGCATCACCCCTCTAAGAACACAGCGTGCCAGTCTCCTGACTCCTCCTGCCTTTATCGCTCGTGATTAGTCCAGCAAGAACAATGATGATGGGAGCTGCCTTGTAACAGGCAGACAAGGGACAGAGCTGGAGCCTCAGCTACCTCCCTCGTTCCCTCCTTGCAACCTTTGGACTTCTGGGTCAAGGGCCTGAGTCGCCTTGAACAACCAGAATTTGGGGGTGGGGGTAGGGGGCAACAGCGCCTGAGTTAATGGTGTTCTCACCTGACTGTTGACTGTCACATCCCTCTCCATTGTTCCGGAGCTTTGTCCTCGTGTTTCCACCGGCATTTCCAAAGGAGCTGGAGAAAGGAGAATCAGGTATCAACAATGGCCCCATTTTAGCGTCCAACTTGGCCCTTTGTAAACACCTGCAGCCATGGTCCTCAGCCTGAGTTACACATTAGGGTCACCCAAGAACTTTCAAAAATGGCCAGTGTCCAGCCTCACCCTGACCATCAGGAATGCAGAAGGCCCCCCAGGCAACTCAGGGTATAGCCAGTCTGCAGCTGGGACCCTACAGCACAAAGAGCAGTGGAAGGGGCTTCGTCGTGTGGCCCGGCTGCTGGGATTGGGTGTCCCTGAGTCAGTTCTGACTCACAGCGACTGTGTGCACGACTGATTGAAACGCGCCTGCTCCGGCACCGTCCCCACAATAGTGATGTTTGAGCTCATAGCTGCAGCCACTGTGTCCATCCATCTCCTTGAGGGTCTTCCTCTTTTTTTACTGCCCCTCCGCTTTACCAAGCGTGATGTCCTGCTCCAGGGCCTGGGCCCTCCTGGCAATGTGTCCAAAGCACGTGAGATGAAGTCTCTCCATCCTTGCCTCTAAGGAGCAGTCTGGCAGTACTTCTTCCAGGACAGATTTGTTTGTTCTTTCGGCCATCCCTGGTAATTTCCGTCTTCCTCGCCGGTACTCCCGTGCCGTGTGTCAGCTCTCCTGCCGTTCTCTCTGCTCATGCCCAACTTCCACGTGCCTGTGAGGCAACCGAGAACACCGGGGCCTGGCCTTAGTCCTCAAAGTGACTTCCTTAGCGTGCAGCACTTTGAAGAGGTAGTGTGCAGCAGATTCGCCCAGTGCAATGTGTTTTTCGATTGCCTGACTGCTGCTTCCAGGAGATACAAGCAGGACGAAATCCTGACAGCGTCCACCTCTTCTGTGTGTAGAGTGACCAGTTGAATCTTTTAACTGCTTTGTGCCTCTGTTTTTTCTGTTTTCAAATGAGAATGGTAGCACCTACTCCTGCCCTGCCCACCTAAGATGTTAAGGGCAAAACAAATGCTAATGAAGATAGAACCACAGAGAATTTGTGACTTACACAGGCTCTGGAGTGGCAAAGCCATTCACCCCTGCACAGGTGCCCAGATCACCTCGTGGCAATCGCTAGGAAGGTTCCCTGCGCCAGGTCTGTCAGAGGGAAGGGATGAAAAGCCATTGGGGTGCTGAGGGCTCCACCCCAGCTCCGATTCTGAGGTGGGAGACAAAGAGCAGAAACCCCTGTCCCGGCATGCCCCAGTTCTACCTAGGTGGCCAGTGGGGGGACAGTGCCTGGGAAGGTAGGAGGCATGCATGGCCTTCTTAGGGACACTCTGGGCCAGTGGCTTAGTGGAAAGTGGACTAAGAGCTTGGGCTCTACTGTCTTCCTTCCCCAATTTAAACATGCCTTAAGAAAAGGAAGGAAAGCCTTGCTCCACATTGCAGGCAGTCCTGGGTTCAAACCCCAGCTCTGCCAGTACCCCATGGACGAATGGTGTGAGCTCTCTCAGATCCATCCTCTGTAAAATGGGGGCAATAATAGGACCTGCCCTCTTAGGATGACTGTGACAATTAAAGGACACATTACCTTTAAGGTACTTGGCTCAGTGTCCGTGCATACAGAATCATTGCTACTGTTGGGTGGATGGATGGATGGATGGATGGATGGATGGACGGACGGACGGATTGGACTTTGATAAGCTATGATCTAGTTCTCTAGCCTCATCAAAAGCTGGAATTGGAGGGCTTTTCCTTGGGAATGTTCTCACCCCACCTCTAATTTGTCAGCTGTAGAAACAAAACCCCTCCTGGCCCTTCTAGTTAGCACTGTTCTCGCACACAAGGAGCAGACAGCAGCCAAGCTGTCTCCGCGGGCCGCCCGCTCTGAGATGCTGGCATCCAGGAGAATGCGCGGTGGCCGCAAGGAGCAGTGCCAAGAGGTGTCTCAAAGGCCTGAGCCTCACCGACAGCCGGCTCCCTCACTTGTTCCATTTGTCTGGTGGCACCGCCTCATGGACTCAGAATCGTGGCACCATTTTGAGCCTTTGCGTTCAAGTTATCAGTCACTATTTAGTAGGTCCTGTGTCTCGGTGCCTTGGTGGTACAGTGGCTATACATTGGACTGTGGTCCACAAGGTCAGCAGTTCGAAGCCACCAGCCACTCAGGGGGCTTGGATGGATGGATGGATGGATGGATATCTCTAAATTTACAATTAGCCTCTAGTCCACTTCTGACCATGCCAATTGCTGACCATGTTGCTGGACATGATTTGAGGGGGGAGGAGGGTTGCAGAGGAGGGTAGTGTAGACAGAAAGAGTAGAGTGGGGGACCCGGTGAGTCTGGAAAAGGTGTCACCTGGCCGCACCTCACCCTGCCCCCCACCCCCACTGTGACGGAGGAAGATCCACAGCAAGGCTGACACGGCCCAGAATTGAGGGCGCTATGGTTCCAATCTGAGGACAACTGAGGAGGAGGCGGTGGACGGTCATGGCAGCCTGGCTGGTGGTCATGCCTCAGCCAGGAGGCGCCCATGCCCGCCCTGGTACAGCGGGCAGCAACCTTCGACGGCGGCGCTGCCTGGGTGGAGGCGCTCCACGTGCTGACCGCCGTCTTGTGTCTCCGCAGAAGGACTTCACGGTGCGCGAGGAGCTGCAGCGGCAGGACGTGGAGCGCTGGCTGGGCTTCATCACGTTCCTGTGCGAGGTGTTCGGCGCCATGCGCAGCAGCACGGGCGAGCCCTTCCGCGTGCTCGTGTGCCCCATCTACACCTGCCTCAGGGAGGTAAGGGGCGCATGCGCGGGCCGGTGC